TTCCTCAGATTCAGTCTAGCTTATCTTTTTTTTAAATCATGTAAATCTGGGGATAATCGTAACAATGGGTGATTCCTATTCTCGTCTCTTTCTCTAGAAAATGTAATATCAAGCCTGGTATGTGCTAGGTATATCAGTCAACAAACAAGACGTTGGAATCTCCCCTTGGCGACCGGAACCACAATCAGCTTTTAGATTAGGATCCATAGGAGTATGTTGGTCGGGATCCTAGCATTCCACTGTTCTTTCAGCAAGTCTAAGGTATAGTTCCTTAATCACAGATGTAGATCTTGCAATTTCCATTCTCAAGAAATGACTTAATGAGCCAAGGTCTTTCATTTCAAAGGATTTGGCCAAATGTGGCTTTTATTTTGTGATGGCCATTGATCGCCTATAATGATGATATCGTCTACATAAGCAATTAAAATAGTAATCTTACCATGCTCCCTAAAGTGAAAAAGAGTGATTTGCATGAGCTTGGACTTGTGATGTCACGGCGATCAAAATACAAAATAGCGGTCTGGCTGAGATTTGAAATAGTGGTTATCACGGTGGTATAACGGTTCAAAGATAGCAATTCATATAATAATTATTAAAAATATAATATATATATATATATGTATGCATGCATGCATGCATACATAACTTTAACATATTATATGCATTAATTGAAAAGGAGGTTTTCTGTAGACGATAAGAAAGCTGGAAATATTGAGGTCGAGACATCAAGTAAGCTAGGATCGAGGTTGACTATCAACGGTGATGTTAGAAGGAAAATTAAAAACCTAAGAAATTCCAACTGGATGCATCATTGCCTGTAATTGTTAAATTAATGGATTAAAATAAAATAAGGGCCCAATAAAAGCCCAAAAAAAGACCAAAATATTCAAAAGATGCCCAACTGCAATAGCAGTATTGCGGACTACTATTATGTCAAATATCAGTGCAATAGCGGTAAATTGCACTGCAATTTACCACCGCTATTTTGTATAGGACTGATAACCGCTATTGCACCAATTTTAACAGCATAGGCTTGCGCAAATTGTTTAATAGTAGCCTTAGAAGATTGCTCGAGACCACAGATTGCTTTCTTGAGACGACAAACTTTATTGTTGCCATTTGCGGCATGGAACTCCGGAGATAAGTCAACGAGGTTGTCATTGAGAAATGCGCTTTTTACATTTAGTTGATGGAGAGGACAATCAAAGTTGGTAGCAAGTGATAGGAGAACCAGTATGGTATTAATTTTGGCAACCGGAGCAAAAGTCTCCTAATAATCTTGGTTCTACATATGTATGTAACCTTTTGTTACTAACCAAGCCTTATACCTCTCAATAGAGCCACCACTCTTATTTAACCGTGAATACCCATTTACAGCCAAGTATGGTCTTACCTTACGGTCATTCAACCACTGCCCATGTACCATTTTTCTGAAGGGAACGAAGCTCTTCAAATACTGCACCCTTCCACTTACTGTCTTGTAAAGCCTCATGAATGTTGGCTCGTTCTTTAGTGAGAGAAGAATTTGAAACGAGAGCTCAATGGTTCCAGCCATGTATAGCCAAGAAAATAAGATATAGAATGATGTGTACAAGAATGCGTACCTTTCCAGATTGCAATTGGTATATCAAGATCAGATTTCAAAGGCAACTTTTGGTGCAATGAAGACTTTGGATTAAGTCCTTTCCTTCTGTTGTAGGTTATTGGGAATGACTCAATTTGACTAGTGGGCTGAGTGAGAATAGGTTGGGGAGTTGTAGGTGATGGAGAGGAAGAGGCAGAATTACTGCCTCAGAAAGTGTGGGTAGAGGTGAAGTGTCTCGTGACTGGGATGGAGTTTGACGTGGAGGCATGGAATTTTGTGATGTGGGAGGATTGAGAGACCAAAAATGTCTACAATTTTGGAACCCGCGGAATCCAACACTTGGTCTTCCTGATTGGAGTGATGAGCGTAATAAAACTGATTCTTAACAAAAGTGATGTCGTGTGAAACAAAGTATTTTTTTTTCTCTCTTGGACAATAACCGATATCCCTTTTGGAAAGATGAATAACCTAGAAAGACACATTTCATACTCATTGAATCAAGTTTGGACCTTTTATGACTATGAATATGGACAAAGACGAAGCAACCAAACACTCCTATATCAAGATTAGAATAGACATGAGAGTTTGGAAAAGATTTATGTAGGATGTATAGTGGTCTTCGGAATTTTAATACTCGCAATGGCAACTGATTAATGAGAGAGCAAGCTGCTTGAATTGCATCACCCAGAACGATTTAGGTGTATGACTTTAAAATAGTAAAGATCTAGCTACCTCTAGTAAGTGACGATTTTCTCTCAGAATTGCCATTTCTTGAGTTGTATTAGCACTACTTTGGTGTATGATACCATGTTTGTGGAAAACGTAGACATAGCTGAATAGAAGTACTCAGAGCCATTGTCAGTGTGAAGGATTTTGATTTTCACATCATATAAGAATCATAGAATGAAATTTTTCAAAAATACCAACCTTAGCTTTGTCACGTAAAAGATAAATCCAACAAACTCAAGAATGATCATCAATAAAAGAAATAAACCATCTTTTATTAGAAAGTGTGATGGTATTTTTGAAAAACAAACCATCTTGGAAGGACCCCACACCTCACTATGAACAAGAGAAAACGGACTCGATGCACAATAGTTATGGATAGGAAATTGAATTCTAGTATGTTTTGACATCATTTCAGAAAAGATAAAAAATAGTCCAAGTTAGCAAACATTCTCTATAACTTCTCTTATATTCAATTTTGACAAACTTCACATGGAAAACATCATAATTTCTAAACAAAGATGTAAAAAACTTTTCTAGGTAAGAAAAGCTAGGATGGTCGAGTCTTTGATGAAGAAGACTTATTCTTTGATGACGGTTTAGGGTTATAGATCCATGAACTAGGAAGCTTATGGCAGACTCAGACAGTAGGAAGTAGTATAATCCAGAAGTCTCTTTAGCACGACCAACCGTCTTCCCCAAGACCTGATTCTGAAAAACACACATATTTTTTAAAAAATTAGCTATATAGTTGGACTCAGACGTAATACGGCCAACAGATATAAGATTGTACGTCAGTCTAGGTACAAGTAGAACATGATGGATAATCAAATAGGCCGTAAGCTCAACAATGCCAATCCTTCAACAAGAGATACAGAACCATCAGCTAAGGTGATTGTTCGCTTACTTGAAGGGTTAAGGATTGAAAGATAGATCTATTACCAGACGTGTTCCAATGTCACGGAATCAACAATCCATGACTCACCTAAAATATCCTCGGTTTGTTGGTTACCATGAGCCATAAATGAGGTTGAAGAGGTTAAGAGATACCTAATTTGCTCAAGTTATGCCTCTTAGAAAAACGACATCCATAGAAGTGGATGAAGAAGATAATTCCAATTTCAGTATTGCTGAATACCTTAACTATCTGTCATACGTTGGTTGTGGGGTACCCAATCAGCGGTTGTTCTTGTGAAGCTTCTAGTAGGTGATCTTTCTGTAAATTGACAATGATCACATCGAAGAGAGGACTTGCAAGGTGCACAGATAAGTGCAACCATGGCAGAGGTTTCAGAACTCATTTTAGTCTCAAGAGAAGTCGGATTTGCCATAATGGTCTGTGTGCAATGTTCTTCACAACAGACTTCAACAAAGATAACATCAATTACTAGTAGAGGTTTAAGGCTAAGAATGTGTCTTCAAACATCAACAAGTGAGGGATCAAGTCCAGACAGAAAAGCATAGATCCTTTCCTTGGTGAGCATCTTCCTGTATAACTCGACATCTACAGCATCTTTCCGCTCGGGTTGCGAAGAAAGATCTAGTTAGTAACATTACCGGTAATATACAGCCTCAGATCTCGAGCCTTAGTTCAGAGTTCGAACATCTGCAAGGAGTCTTCGAGATCTGAATATGCTAGAGCGAGTGCATCCCAGATGGACTTCACAGTAAGATAAAGGATGTAAATTTCAGCAATACCATCTTGCATAGAGTTGATGAGCCATGTCATAACCATGGAATTTCGAATATCCCATTCGGCAAAGGAGGAATCGGTGGACAAGAGTTTCTTTATGGAACCATCAACGTAGCCATATTTACCTTTTCCACAAATAACAAGTTGGACAGGTCAAGACCAATAAAGGTAGTTCAATCTAGAAAGATTAAATTTTATATTTTAGAGAGAGGTTATTTTCAAAGGCAGCAATGATGATTATATGAATGAGTTGGGGATTAATTTCCGAAAGTTGAACCTGACCCCATGGTGTTTTTCAACTAAAGCCTTTAAAGCTCTCATACCATAAAAGCTTTAGAAGAGGAGAAAAATGTAAATTGTCACTGTATCTCCAAGTTATGAATGGGAACTTATGCAACTAGGAAGAAAGAGATAAACTACTAAAGTCCCCTAATTTTGTGGGATAAAAGTTGATCTAACAATATGAGATAAGAACTTATCTACAATAAATGTCTATCGATGTTTATCTACAACAAAATATGATCCGAATCCACAGATTATTCTACAATATGTAAGCTTACATGCCACGAATACAATGTGGCATTTTCAAAGTGTGACACAAGACGACAAATTTATGTCATATATATAGGCACACATACACAAGGACAAATTCAGTTGCAAACTCAACTTCCGTTGTGAACAAGGGGACAAATGAAAGTACACCACGTGTCCTAGACATTCACGGGGTGTTCATCATGAATGGTGGTTCATTCATCATGAATGTTGAAAAAAGTTCACGTTCATTATTCATATGATGAATGGGACAAATTGGGACACACGTCGCACTCTACTTTGTTCCCTGGTTTATAATGGACAGACTGAATTTCCCTATATATATATATATATATACACGTATAAGTTTTCTATTTATTATTTAATGAGACAATGATAATAAAATATTTCACATTCATATAAGAAGAAGAATATGATATATAATATTATTAGTATCATATAGGAGTCTGTAATCAAATATTCAAAATATAATGTGGATGATTTTACGACTTCATTTTAACCATGAGTCCATGGCATGCGTGAATCCATAAAACTGTTAGCGATGTGATTAGCTAAATATGTAAGAGTGTAAAATTTGAAGTTAAAAGTGTGAAAACACAAAAGCTAAAGAACTGAAAAAAATTGAAAAACGTCCCGCTTTGTAAAAAAATGCACATCGACGTGCCATGCCTTACACAAACTTTATAGGCCCGTGAGTCCATGACGTGTGTGAATCCATTATCCCTATAATCTTTGAAATACCCCCTCTAGTATATACATCCAACTAGTGGCTTTGGGCTCGGATCGGTACATAGTACATTCCCGCTAAGGAGAGCTATTTTCCAAATGCTCTCTTTTCATCCGAGGTGCATCTACTACTTCCAGCACAAATTAGGTATTTCTTTCGTCTTTTCTACTGCAAGTTTATCACCTTTCATAATTGACTTCGATCTAACCAGATGATGGATAACAGAAATACTTTTAACTACCATGTTCCAATCGACCATTATGATAGTACATGGTTTCTTCTTGCCCCACTGTAGGTGTAGGGTTGACTTTAATTAGACATTGCTTTACTATTACCATTTGTGTTATAGGATCCTACTTTCTTAGAATCTTACATTTGTTATCAGAGGACCAAAAACCTTCTTTTCTATAACATTTTTCCCCACTCATCAAGAGTTAACAATGAACCTATTAAGAAGTAACAACATAAGTCATGCCATGGCTTTATGGGTCAAACACTTCAAGGAATCAACCCGGGTTGGTATGAGAGATGCTCATTGCTAATTGTGACATTCCTATTTTTCAAACTTGAAAAAGCTTGAACAAGAATTCATCATATTTCATAATCTTCTTCTAGCTACATCACTTGGGAAAGCACACTTGCATGTCTTATCCCATTAGTAGCCTCAATATGCTTTTAATTTAGCCCTTTCGGAGCACATGCTATTGTGCAAACCAAGATCTCATAGTCTCAAAAGTGAACTCTTAGCTGTCAACCAAAATATGTTCTCAATCTTTCATTTGACTCTGGATTACCAAGATGTAAACAAATAAATTATAATGAAAAATGCAAGCCATTACCCCTAAGAGGTTAATATGAGATGCCTCTTAATGATCCAAAGTACATAAGAGTTTTGAAAGTTTTGTGGCCACATAATAATCGGGATATTTTCCTTGTTATTAGTATTTCAAAGGTTTGATGAGACATGTATAAGAACACAATAATAGGAGCCTTCCAGAAAGGCAGGCTTCAAATTGCACTAGACTATGGGTAAATTTATTAATAAGAAACTAAAAAGAATGTAATAACCTTCCCACTACAAGAAAAGGTCCAATTATCAAAAAGAATTAACGAAATATAGCAATATTAAACATCAAGCAACATTGATGAAGAAAATATGATATATCTTCAAAAGCATGGCAACTCATACACTTATATTTTAATATCCAACAATGAGATGTCCGCGAGCATAAATATTGTTGATGAAGAAAGTTACCTATTTTTTTCCAATTTTTTCCTTTGAACCGCTGAACAGCTTTACGCAAAATCTCATCCTAAAATAGAGAAAGCATCCAACAAGTTATGAATAACAAAATAAACCTATGCGTAGAAATATGCATATATTAGTGTAAGATTTACACATACATGAATACAAATGAAGATAGTAAGAGAGAGAAGAAAGAATTTTGTGCCGTTCACAGTCGGATTAGGTAGATGTCACACTTAAGGTCGATAACATAAAGGTGTTAGCAACATGAAGTGGCAAGAGAAGCAACAAAAGATACCCACAAAACAAACTTTGAAACTTGTTAGCATGAGGAAGCTTTTGCTGTCATCATTGGCATAGGAGATAATGTTGGACCAAACAAAGATATGTCAAATAGTCTTAAAATAAATGACACAAACTAAACACACTTATACAGTGACATGATGGACAAGGTCAAGAAGCCTAATGTTTTACAAGGTATACAACGCGTTGTCTTCATAACATTGTATAACTACCTCTTCTTCAGTCCATTGCCCCTTTGTTGAACGTCTCGTAGGGCCAGTGGTCCTCCTATAGACAGTAGCATATGTTATTAACTGTACAAGGTCTATAATAGACTTCCATCAATCATAATTCATGGCGACAGTAATAAATAAACATGAATAAAGTATTTCGCAGTTGTGATTTTCACTTTTGTGTACGCATGTGTAAGTAATTACTTATAGGACATACCCATGCAAAACTGGCATTTTCTGAAGCCCCTGGCTGATCCCATCAGAAGACGAAACCTTGTTGGCTGGATCACTTCCCATCCCTGAGAGCCTTACTGCAGACCTCGAATCCTGCTTGCTGGTAACTCTGTCTATACCCTCTCCAACAAACCATTATCAGTTTCCTACTCTTAGGGTTTGTACAAGGAGCTACTCCCACAATAGATTCTGAAGAAGAAAAACAAATGAAAACCCTAATGAACAGTTCAACAGCATAGTTCACAAGACAGAAAAGAATACCAGACGCAAAGCTATTTTCTACCAGAAGACTCGGGCAAATGAAGTGCCCCGTAAAATAAGCACAGAGTGGATTAACCAACCCCAGCTTTCCTCAAACTCAAACCTTCACCTGATCGCATAACTAATAATCAAAATGGTTCAAACTAATTTTAATTTGAATGAATCGCCATGACATAAAAAATCATCAACAAACGTCTAGAATTTTCAAAGAAGAGCAAAACCTACAGAAATTGGGTTTAGAAAGAAAAAAAAGAAGAATTTTCGCGGAAGCCCAACAGAGAAGCGTGTCAAACTCGAACAAAAACGATCGTCTTGACAACTTGAGATTGAATAAAGTAATTTCATACTCAAAAGCCAAAAATCAAAAGCAATTCATCAATTTATCAAAAACGACTAAATTTTACAATCGGAGAAGGGAGAAGAAACTCACAGACACATTCGAAGATTCTGATTATGGAAGGAGATGAAGCAAGAACTGGCTTCTTTGATGGATCTGCGATCACGTACACACCTATAGAGAGAGTGTATGTTGTTTGAGGGTGATCGTCTATGTTTGAAAGAGTAAGGAGAGGGCAAACGGTCTCTAGAAATTCAAAAAATGAGGGGGCCAAGCCCTAAAGTGTTAAAGCTCGAACATCTTCCGTTGTCCATTACGGTATTTTTGTTGACTTTTCTTTTTTTTCGAGAAAATGAAAATTGAAGTCCAACGGCCAGCTTCCATCCATCTATGCTTTATTTTTATTTTTTTTATTGAATTTTTTTTCATAAACGATGAAAAAAAAGGTAAACTTTTTCTATGGTGATTTATGGCATCCATCATGCTTCTTCTTCTTTTTCCACAAGAGTTATTTATTTATTGGTTGTTTATTTATTTATTAAATATTATTCAATTTGGGTCACTACCATGTAACTTTAGTTGGGATAGTTAACTTATTTTAAATTATACAAATTTACTCTATGAGCATAAAATATAAAAAGTATAGATATATTCGGTATCAATTATAATAATTAATTATTGTAAGTCCCAAATCATACAGCAAATAAAGATCAAACAGTAAATTGAACCACGAGTTGAATAAGCATTTAGCTTGAAAATAGTGTGAATTTTGTGACATTCCAGTGCAAACAGTCTTATAACAAATAATCTTTTAGTGAACCACGAGTTGAATAAGCATTCAATTTAAGAACTTGATCTTGGTTAGGTAAACAAAAATTGGTGTTAACAACATCTGCTTGAAGAACCAAAGCAAACACCATTGATATTAAGAACTGGAGAGAAGAATCAGCATTAAGCACATAGTTTTAAGAACAGCAAGTCAATCAGACAAATAAGCCCATTTATTCAAACTTTCAAAAGACTGAATAACCAGAATTAGATGCAAAATTCTCAGCAGAAGAGTGATTATGATCACTTAGAACTTTAGATCACAACCATAACATCAGAAAAATAATTGTAGACTATCAAATCTCTAATTGATCAGATTAGAAGAATGACTGAGAAAATTCAAAGATCTGATAATTTCCAGAACTTCCAAAATACTGATTGCAAACCTTCAAGATCTCTGATTGATCAAGTCAAAAGAAATGAGTGAAGGCACTCAATGGACTAGCCTCTTGTAGAAAAATTCCAGAGTAACGATTACAGATACTCAAATTCTGACTATTCAAATCAAATATCAAAACCAATCAAACAATTCTAAAATCTTTTCAAATTCGGCTTTATTATGCTTACATAGATATAGAATATGGATGGATAATCATATTTTAATGCCACTATCTTAATATTTCAGAATATTTTATTTAAATATTTATTAATTTAATCATGTATTAGTTTTTGAATTGATTTATCATATCTATATTATATTATAAAGCATTTGATAAAAAATCTTAAAAACCATTTTTTATGTATGAAGTACTATATATTAATGCATATTACTTAAAATTCAAGATTACAAGTAAATTATGCATAAGTACAACTTATTGAAGCTTCATGTTTGAATTCATGTAACAAATTGCGGATAAACATAACCAATTAGAGGATAAACATCTCATTTTAAAAAATAAAAAAAAATCTAAAATATAATTAGGATAATTATCGAGTTCTAACAAAATAATTAATTATTATCTTTATAAGAATATTATATTATTAAACCAAATATAAATTACTTCGTTACTAAACCTAAATTAAATTATAATAAAAAAATTAAATTAGAAAATTACACAAAAAATAGGAATTTTAAATAGTTAATTTGATACTAATATCGATATATYTTTGTCAAATTTTTATGATATCTTCAAATTTATATTTTATTCAAAAATAAAAACATTATCGCTTTTTCAAAATCACATAAGACCATATTATAACATTGATTGAGATAAAGAATAAAATGAAATATTAAAATCAAGATGTATCTCGCTGCATTCTGCGAGTACCCTTCTAGTCATATTTAAATGTTTATCCTAATTATAATTTCTAATTTATTAATCATTTTTGAAAGTTACACTTCCATCCCTCATATATTTTGGTCTTTTACCAAAAGCTTCCAAAATATTATTAAGGTGTTAAAAGTTTGAATTTGACTTTATATCAAAATCAACATTTATTTGCCTCGTAACAAAATCTCTCATAATACCATTACGGTACTAAAACACATTGAAGTTGGCTTCATAGCCAAACTCATATTCTTTTTGGCCTCATGCCAAAGCTTTATAATTAGTAATTGTTATCTTCAAATTAAATAAATCACAAGACATCGAAAGATTTTCTTATAAGGGGTGTAAATAGCCTTAAGGTTTGTAGAAACTTAAGTAATTAATGTGATTCTCCTCTTACCTGGAAATTCAAAAATGTTTGAACGATTTATTTTAAATATTGAAATACTAATATTGAACAAATTAAATAATGCAATGATAATGAAATTTCATGTGCATCATAATTTATTGTCTTATAAAAAAATCATATATCTCTTATTTATATAAATGGTTGAAACAACTCATCCGAGATCCGATGTCCTAAACTCAAAAGAACTTGAGTACCATAAATGAATATCCAATGTAAAAGCTATTTTTGTCGAAAATGTACAAAAATATACCTAAAACCCATCACAACCTGTTGACTCTAAAAATCAATTGTTAAGGTACAAATAAATACCTTGAGATTTTTTAGATCCTTAACTAGAATCCCCAAAACCGTAAGACACCCAGAAAAGGAATACTGGGAGTATATATTACCATGTACTTCCCAAATTAAGCACACGGTGGAATGAAACCCACTTGATTACAAAAAGGTAATTGATTTCAACAAAGAAATGTTGTGTTCCAAAATACATCTCAATCTTCATGGTAAGGAACTCACAAAAGATGACATGAATCATAACTTTATTAATGAACCAATATAGGTTAGAATGTAACATTTAGACAAATTCATCAACCTACTGCAAGTGGTTGGGAGACATAACAAGGTTCTTCCGAATAACAGCACTAGCCATGTCGGGGCAAAGAAAATTCTCGAGACCAACAATAAAAGCGTTAGAGGTGGAAACAACTCCAAAAGATTATGATTTAAAAACAATTTCACGCATGTGACATCTATGCACTATGTGGACGAGACCATGGAAAAGGTCAGTGTCATGAAAAGAGTTGAAAAAGATTTTCCAATCCTTAAAGCAGAGATGCAACTACTGTTCATAAGATAATAGATAATAAAAGAAGAAATGTAATAATAATCGTTCATATAAAAAAGAGAACAAGTTGAAAATGAACTATATTATATTAACTTAAATTGATTGAGCATATGTTAATTTGAAAGTTATTTTAAGTATTAAATTAATTTCATTTGTTGATGTCAAACCAAACATATAACCATTGTAGATGTAAAGAAATACATGAAAACAAATATATAACTCTCAATATTATTCATTCCGTATAAGAATGTAGAACTTGAGTGTTTTTATGGGATCTCCCACACAATCTTAAAAGGTAGACTAATATTTATCTTATAATTCTTTCCACCATAATACTTAGACGATTGACTATCATTTTCTTGTTAGTACACAACTAATAATCATTAAATCACTATATCATTAGGAACCTTGTAAGATATTTGTATCAATTGGAAATCATATTATAAGAATGGAAATTTATACATGTATATCTATACTATATTATAAAGCATTTGACAAAAACTCTTAAAAAACTATTTTTATGCATGAAGTACTGTTTATTGATGCATATTAATTAAAATTCAAGATTACAAGTGATTTTGCATAAGTATAACTTATTAAAACTTCATTTTTAAATTCATGTAACTAACTGCAGATAAACGTAATCAAATACATGATAAACATCTATTTTAAATATAGAAAATATAAAATATAATTAAGATAATCATTAAGTTTCTAACCGAATGTTTAATTATTATCTTTAATAAAAATTATATTATTAAACTAAAAATAAGTTACGTTGTTATTAGACCTAAACTAAATTATAATAAAAATTGAATTAAAGAAGTTACACCAAAAAACCGAGAACTATTAAATAGTTATATAATACTAACATCGATTTTATTTTTTTAAATTTTTTATACTATATTCAAATTTATATTTTATTCAAAAATAAAAATATTTTATCGATAGAGACAAATAATAAAACTAAATATTAAAATAAAGATTTATCTCACTGAATTGTGCGACTACCCTTCTAGTCAACTCTAATGATATCAAATGAACATATATTAGAGAAATTAATTAGTGGATTATGTAGGTCATTAAATCATATTTTCTCACCAATAAAGAACTTTGGGACAATGACACGTATATGTTTCGACCTGACCACATGGACATCATGGTCATGACATAATGATCCATTTATTGCAAAATAGACATAGACACGTTCTCTTTCAAGTGAAAGGCTATTAGAATGTCTATTTTAAAAGTGTAAGTAAAAAGTCTCTTGCTCTAGTTAAGAGGACTTGGTCTGAAAGCTACCTGTAACCAAGAGCTCGGATATAGAGATGATACCCGAATACAGAGCTCGTCTAGAGTGGGATGAAGACCAAAGATATGTGCGTTAAAAAGCCAAGTCTTTGATACAGAGCCCAACTCTAGACACAGAGCCTCTGCACTATACATGCAGAGTCTCTGGCTCTCCAGCACTCCCTTATGCATGAAGGTTCCACGACCCGTCTTACAAGTGCTCCAGTCTCAGGCCGACACGTATCCATAAACGGTTACTTCAATCAGACACGTGGAGGCAGATGATTGGTGGACGCATTGACTTATCCCATTTCCCAAATTATGGAAGATTCCTTTTCTGAAAATGCCTATAAAAGGGTATTTCCTCTAAGGTGATATTTACCAATCTTGAAAGAAAGAAGACGTGCTCCTTCATAATCTAAAGAGAGAAATTCACACTTGCGAGAAAAAGACTAGTTGAGAGATATTTTGTAAGCACACAACTATGTATTCTTGGTGTAATCTCACTAGTATCAAATACAACCGACTTTATTAATTCTTCAAATATTTTTGTGTCTTTATCATTTCTGCTTAACCTGCTAGAATCATAGTTATTGCTTCCGCTCACTTGTTGACCTAAGTTGTGATTACTAGTGC